TTCATTACAGAAGGGGATCCATGAGTGGAACTTCACAGCTACGTCAATCAAAGGCATTAGGTACGATTTAAAGACTCAAAAAGCTGTTAAAGGATCATTATAGGCTGGTTGTGAACTCATTGTTAGCGGGCTGCATGAATAAAAACAACCGTTCCGTGTCAGGAATAGCCTGTGGGACAGATTTAGCCACGGGGAAGAGTTTTCCCACTAGATGCCGGCTGACCTAATTACTCACAATATCCGACGCTAGCGTTGCATAATCATTGAAACCCGAGCGTGGACAGCTGTAAATTCAATTAAATTCATCACAACAACAGGTATCTCACAGCTTTCCAAACAGAGCAGGTCAGAACGGACTCTGAAGTTATTTACAGAAGCCCAACAATTCACACCAAGAACATTTCATTCATTTCATTTCATTTGTTTCGAAACATGATATGATTTAACAATGTTTACATAAAATGCTTCATATACATGCATCACGTTTCAAAAAGGAGCAGGATGAAGCATAAGCTTATTGAGCCCTACCCCTCAGTTACATGAGTCGTTGGTGGTAAAGGACAATTATTTACAGTAAGACAAACAGAACAAGCACCAGGCGACACAGGGAAGGAAAAACCTCCTTTTAAGACGGAGAAACCTGGAGCAGAACCATGGCTCAGGGTGGGTGGGGGGCATCTGCCTCGGCCGGTTGGGGGTAAGAGAGAGAGAGGGCAAGAGAGAGAGAGAGAGAGAGAGAGAGAGAAAAAAAGAGAGAGAGGACAGAGAGAGGCAGCCTATACAGTAACACATAGACTCGATGAAAAACGGTAAAGATATTGGTACTAATGATAATGATAGCAGTAATAACAGCAATACAACTATGAACAGTGGCTGTAATAGTAGAAGAGTAGAAACATGGGGACACCAGGAGACTCCCAATTAAAGATCCAGACTCCACAGCCTTAGTAACATCTACAGAAAGTTATAGGAGGAGAGAAGAGAGAGGGACGAGAAAGCATACGACTACGGGAAAGCGAGAAAATCCAGTTAGTAACATCGTTAATGGAATGAGGCAGCACTGAGAGGGAGAGGTGCATCATGGGAAATCCCCCAGCTGTCTGGGCCTACGGAGGGAGGAGAGGGGCATAATGGGAAATCTAGTCTAGGACTATAGCTATAGTAGCATAACTAGGGGTGGACTCACCCTAACTACTAGCTCTATCATAAACGAAAGTCTTAAGCCTACTCTTAAATAGAGTAAAGATGCTATCTGCCTCCCGGACCCCAAACTGGAACCAGGTTCCACAGATGTGTTACAGAATATTGTCGTTCAATAACTTCTTTGTACGCAGCATCAGCAAGTTCGACGAGCGATGCTGCTTCCTGTACGTCCACGACAACTCCGACGACTTCCAGATCTACTTCTCCACCGAGGAGCAGTGCGCTCGGTGAGGACCAGAGATGTACAGTAACGAAGTAGAGCTACTTAAGTACTCTACTTTAGTACCAAAATGCAGTATCTGTACATTTATTAGAGTATATATATTTTCCCCTACTTTTACTTTTACTCCACTACCTATTTTTGGTTAATTTAATACTTTTACTTTTATTTTCACGGGCTGAATCGTTACTCTTCTTGAATTTCCCCTTGGGGATCAATAGAGTATCTATCTATCTATCTATCTATCTATCTATCTATCTATCTATCTATCTATCTATCTATCTATCTATCTATCTATCTATCTATCTATCTATCTATCATTACTGATATGTAAACGTAATGATAGATAGCTCTGTCAGGGTTTGGGAAGCTGGCTAATCGTTGGCCGATTTGAGCCATCAAGGATAGCCTGTAAAAAAAAAGCCTCCCAAAAGATTGCGAAATCATGGCCTTCAAAAATTCCCCATCTAATCTGAAGAAGCACATCATAGCTTACATGACATATAAGCTAGTAAGTAAGAGCTAGTTCAGTTCTCCCTGTTCACTCAGGACGTAGCAGCTAACGTTAGCTAAAGCTAAACTAGCTGGCTAGCTGTATGATAACGTTAGCTAAAGCTAACCTAGCTGGCTAGCTGTATGCTACATGCTAGCATAAAGGCTCAGCTCAGGATTCTGACTCTGGAATAATAAATAATAGTAGATGAAGTGCTGTTGATTTCTAACGCAGATGCACTTTTCTGTTTTTTCGTAAACACCTGTATGGCCTTTCACACGTTTGAAATAATATAAACAATAACTATCACACTTTTGACTGCCTTTTTTTAAATAAACACAGTACTTGTACTTTTACCTATACTTGTACTTTCAATACTTGAGTAGCAATTTTTGAAATACTTCTACTTGCAAAACTTAAGTAAAAAAAAAATGGAGTACTTCCGTACTTCCACTTAAGTACTTAAGTACGCTCTCCTTTGATGTGGTTCTGGCAGGTTCTGCTCCCTGGTGAAGGAGATGATATCGGACGGGACGGGGAACGCGGTGGAGCTGGAGGGGGAGGCGGACGCCGACACGCTGGAGGTCAGGGGGCGTTCGCAGGACGCTAACCGCTAACCACCGCTAACCGCTGCTAGCCGCCGCTAACCGTAGCTAAACGCTAAACTGAAGGAAAAAAGGGGAAGTGGACTTCTCTGCATAGAGAAGTCTGTACTCTGTTTGACTCTACTACTGGACGGTGGTGTAATTTCATATTTGACCAATGGCTGATCTCTACGTAATGTTTATCTGGCAACTGTTTTAAATTAGTATTTCGTATCTAGTATCTAGTATTTTTAGGGCTTTGTAGTACTTTTTATCTCCTTGTAATGTTGATCTGGCAACTGTTTTAAATTAGTAGTTCGTATCTAGTATCTAGTATTTTTAGGGCTTTTAGTACTTTTTATATCCTAGTAATGTTGATCTGGTAGTTGTGTTAATTTAGTATTATTTAGTAATTTAGTATTCCAGACTGATGGAACTGTATTCTGTCTCTACTGGCTACACTAGCCAACATGCACTACCCCTCCTCCATTCCCTTGATTGGATTCAAGTGCTTCACAGGAGAAGCTTTTAAAGCTGTTTTTAGGGGGATTTTTAAAGCTGTTTTGTGGGGTTTTAAAGCTGTTTTTTGGGGGATTTTTAAAGCTATTTTGTGGGGTTTTAATGCTGTTTTGGGGGGCTTTCAACCTTTTTTGTGGCTTTTAGAGCTGTTTTGAGGGGTTTTAAAGCTGGGTTTTGATATTTTAAAGCTGTTTTTTGTGGATTTCAAAGCTGTTTTTGGGGCTTTCAAACTTTTTTGGGGGTTAGGGTCTAACTTCATACTTGACAAATGGCTGATCTCTTAGTAATGTTGATCTGGCAACTGTTTTAAATTAGTATTTCGTGTCTAGTATTCTTGTGCTTTTTAGTACTTTTTATCCCCCAGTAATGTTAATCTGGTAGTTGTGCTAATTTAGTATTCTAGTCATTTTGTAAGAGACTGTGTGAACTGTAGTGTATTCCCCTTGGGGATCAATAAACTATCTATCTATCTATCTATCTATCTATCTATCTATCTATCTATCTATCTATCTATCTATCTATCTATCCATCTATGAATTTAAGTTATGTCCTTTCTTGGTGAACTTTAAAAGAGCTTTAAAATGTAAAATGATAAAATCTTACGCTGTTATGTAGATCTATATATGTACTATGTACTTGAATCTGAATTTGAAGAAATCCTGGTAGGTTGTAAGGTAAAAAAATAGGGTAGGCAAGAATAAGCTTTGCTTCGGCCTATTCATTTTTTGGTAAACTGTGGGTTTGTCTATTGTTCTTTTATTTTTTTATTTTGTTGTTTCTTGTGTTTAATGTGGACAATTTACCAAATTAAAGTGATTGATTGATTGATTGATATCTATCTATCTATCTATCTATCTATCTATCTATCTATCTATCTATCTATCTATCTATCTATCTATCTATCTATCTATCTATCCATCTATCTATCTATCTATCTATCTATAGTACGAGTACGACACCAATGAGACGGGCGACCGGGTGGTTCTGGGCAGAGGAACCTACGGGGTCGTTTACGCTGGCAGAGACCTGAGCAACCAGGTCCGGATCGCCATCAAAGAGATCCCAGAACGGGACAGCAGGTACTGGGCCCCGGTTATAAAGTCCCAAAGTCCACCGGAGGGGTTTTCCATTTCCAATCAGGTGTTTTAACACAGTGCAAAGGAGGAAATACATCAAAAAGGTGTCTTAGCTAGGCTTGTCCCGATCCGATGGATCTGGTTAAAGTCTGATCCCACACGAGCATTAGCATTAGCATTAGCATCTCCTAACCCACAGGTCTGTGTCCTAACCATTAAGTTGTTATCAGAGTAAATCCCTGTTCAACATGAGTCTGACAACTAAGTAAGTAGATAAATAACTTTAAACTTTAACACATGCTCTGATAGGCCGGGATCGGTATCGGATCGGAAGTGAAAAAAGCTGGATCAGGACATCTCTAGGATGAGGTCCGAAAGTCCACCGGCTGGGTTTTCCTCTTCGAATCAGGTGTTTTAACACAATGCAAAGGAGGAAAGACATCAAAAAGGTTTTTTAGCTAGGCTTGTCCCGATCCGATATTTGGATCGCTGATATTCGCAAGGAAATGCGTATCTACCCGCATGGATCCAGACTCCCAATCCAGTTTTTTTTTAAAAGTCCGATCCCACACGAGCATTAGCATTAGCATCTGTAACCCACAGGTCTGAGTCCTAACCATTAAGTTGTTATCAGAGTAAATCCCTGTTCAACATGAGTCTGACAACTAATTAAATAGATAAATAACTTTAAACTTTAATACATGCTCTGACAGGCCGGGATCGTTATGCAAAAAGCTGGATCGGGACATCTCTAGGATGAAGTCCGAAAGTCCACCGGCTGGGTTTTCCACTTCCAATCAGGTGTTTTAACACAGTGCAAAGGAGGAAAGACATCAAAAAGGGTTTTTAGCTAGGCTTG